GGTTTAAACTGAGGCAACTGAAGCTTTTTCTTTTTGTATTGGAGAAGGACTTGAATACTTGACTGAGAAAGGGAAGATTGTGTATTTTTTCTGTATATCAGTGTTTAATGATGATCTCTGAAGGAAATGCATAGCCAGCTATATAATGATCATTTTGAGTTTTATACTGTGTTGTTATATCCTGTTGATACTTTAAATGTGGTCTTGAGTACCTTGAAAGGACCTCAGGCTCCTGAGATTCAGAGGTTTGCCAGTGAGCAGTTTACGCTCTTTTTGTTCAGTCACTTCATAGCAAGGGCTCTCTGTGACTCACTGCAGAATGCCGAAGCTCCTGCTTTTCCCTCTGTTCATGGAGTCTTTACTTGGATATCCCTAAAGACCTATCTTTCCTATAAGTGAAAGAGCATTTAGTGACCTCTCCATTGTCATTTATTCCCTAAGTCAACCCACTCTTTGGGGCAAAATCATTATTATCCTTTTAAAGGATGTATTTCTTTAGCTTCTGTTTGTTTTCTTTTGATGGAAGACTTCTCTGGTGAGATTGGTCATGGTATTAATGAATGTGATTTTTTGGTGTTATACAAATGAAATGTGTTAACATTTGGAATATCTCCATAACTCAGTGAATCATTATTTTCTAAATGACCAGTAAATGATGGTGCAAAGTCATACATGAGTAAAAGTTTCATTTAAAGTATAGGATAGACAAATGGAATTTAGGGTAAGAGCGTGAAATATTTATCAATATAATTTTAGCCTACTGTTTAACACAGGGAATTGCATTCAATATCCTGTAATAAACCATAATGGAAGAGAAAAAAAAAGTAGTTTTAGATTCCACATTACAACTAACCTTTAAGAAACCACCACTTGTTGAGTTTTGGTGTAGTATCAAAGAAGAACATCCAGAATTATTTGGAAAGGCTGTGGAACTACTCTTCTTTTTTCAAAGTACATATTTGAATGAGGCTGGATTTTCTTCATATACTTCAGCCAAAACAACATATTGCAACATTGAATGTAAAAGCACATTTGAGAATCCAGCTCTTTAATTAAATCAGACATTAAAGAATTTTGCAAGAATATGAAACAATGCCATGCGTCTCATGATTTTTTGGGAAAATACAGTTTTTCATTAAAAATCTTTTTATGTTAACATGTAGTAGGATTGTTATTTTTAAATGAATTAATATTTGAAACTTTCTGTTTTAACTTTTATTGTAGTAAATTTTGTCCATATAATTCATATATGTAGAAGCTCCTTGGGGTCCCCCATACTTTTTAAGAGTATAAAAGTTTCCTGAGACCAGAATGTATGAGAACCTGTGCTGTAGTGCTTAAGCAGGGACTTGGAGCCAAATTGCTTAAGTTCAAAACTCAGCTTTATTATTTAATAGCTCTGTGACCTTGGACAAGATACCAGACTACTTTTGGCCTCAGTTTCTTATCTAAATAAAATGCTATAGTAATGTAACTTGTAGGTTGTCTTAAGGATTAATTTGAATATATGAAAAGTTCTTAGAATTTATATAGTACTCAGCAGGCTATATAATTATTACCTTTTGAGCATTTGTAATGTATCGGTGTTTTCCTTTATAGATGCCAGGTTTCTAAATTTCTGGAAATTCAGTGTTTTGTGGTATTAACATGGTCTATCATCAGTAAAGTCCCTGATACCCTTAACTTCTCTACACCATTCCCCACCCCTCCCCCCGACCCCACTAAAGTCAGTGGTTCTCAACCTTTGCTGCATTTTAGAATCACCTGGGATGCTTAAACAGACCCTCTGTGCCCAAGACACACTTCAGATTAACTGACTCAGTTAAACCAAAATCTGGAGGTGGGAATAGGGACCAAACATAGTATTTCTCACTCTTGAAACCTGAATATTCAGATCCTCTGCCCTGAGATTCTGTCTTTTCCTCCATGCCCTCAAATAATTTATTTATCACAGCTGATTTCTCTCTCATCTTTTGTATCACTGAACTTGGAGGGGCGGTAGGTGTTCTCCCTGCTCGATGCTGCTGCCAAGGAAATCATCGTTCCCTTTTCCCTGACACCCCATCCCCAGCCTTGAAACTTAGCCCATCAGACAGTAGAACACACCCCTCCCTCCCTGTTGTTATCTAGAGACATCCTTTGAAGATTTTAGCGCATGGCTCACAGTTACTTTCTCAGCACTGTTGATTGCTCTTTTTGTGATTGCAGGTGATTTAATATTCACATAGACGCTTTAATATTCACATAAACACTCCTTCCCACACGTGGGCCTCTCAGTCCCTGACTTCCTTTCCTGCAGGATCTTGTCCTCCCTCCACCTCCCTCAGCCAGACACATGCACAGCCAGGCCTTGTCAGTGCCCATTACAGATCAAACATCCCATTCTCTGACCACACCTCCTGTCTTTTAGAATTCATTCTTCTTAGAATTTCAACGGCAACAATTCTTCCAGCTAACCAGGACCATTGGTCCTGTCATTTTTCCACTAACTCTTACTTCTCTTATGAACTTACTTTGCTTTTTCCTGGCTTAGGGTGTCCATGTCCATAATTATAATCATTCTTCTGCAGGCCCTCAAAGATCTCTTGCCCTTCTTTCTTTGTATTGTACTTACCTGGCAAAATCCCAACCTTTGTTAAATCTAAATTCCTCCCACTCTACATTGCACCCAGGTGAGGGAATTTATGCTGATTGGTCTCATTTAAAAATCATACCTCAAGCTCAGTGGGGCTTTTAGTGCTGTCTGGAATTCCTCCTCCATTTCCCCAGTTCATTCATTGTTTATTGTTCTAAATGACTATTGCACACTCTCTTCTCAAACTTCCTGTATCCCCTCCTTCTTCCTCACTCTCAGCTGATGGCCTTGTTTCAAGGAGAAAATGTAAACTCTTAGGAGAGAACCACCACAAGCTTCTATCGCCGCATAGAACAACTTGCCTACATTTGTAATCCTAAACTGGCCTTTTCTTTTGTACCTACAGATGGATTCTCTGTGCTCGTTTCTAAGGCATCCCTCTTGGAGATCCCATTCTGCCTACCTAATTGTTACCTTCCCTGATGGTGTTCTGTGCCCACTTCCCTTTTCAGCAGCATGTTCCCCCCTCTCTATGGCGATATTCCCTCAGACTATAAACATCTGAGCAAAACTTTCTCTTCCCCTCTGGTTACCAGTGTGTGTTGTCTGTATCACATTTCTAATTTCTTTCTACTCATTCTTGCTTAAAGCCTTTACAGTCAAGCTTCTACTTCACCAAGTTAGCCCTTGTGGAGTACACTACTGACCTGTGTCAACACACCCAGCCGCCAGTTCCTAGGTCTTCTCTTACTCAGCAACACCATTTGGCACAGCTGATCACTTCTCTCTCTTGAAGCTCTTCCTTCACCAGGTTTCTCAGTAGCATTTATTACCATCTGATTTTGTTGATTATTTATTTTGGCCAATGAAACTGTAAGCTCCTTTAGCAAGGACTTGGTTTATTCCTGTCACTGCCTGGAACAATGCTTGATACAGAATAGGTACTTGATAAGTATTTGTTGAATGAATGACTGTGAGCTTAAAAGCAGCTATATACTTGTCAGATCTTTCCCATCTCCTTTCCTGGTCAGGCTTTTTCTCCGGACCTTGCATTTCCTAATTGTATTTTCTGTCATCTCTACTCCATTCCTATCTTTTTCAGGCTGAACCACTACCATTGTGCTTACATGTCTGTGGGGCTCTAATGTTTACAGAGCATTCATTTATAGCTGGTATTATAGATGCAGATGGTCTGTGGATTTGAGTTGAATGACATTAGCATTTAATGCTGAATTTAGGTGCAGATGGAAGAAATTAAAATTATGAAAGAATAAGAAACAAGTCTTTAACGTTAAAATTATGGTCTTCTTAAGATGTTTTGTTTTCTTGTTTTGTTACTATGCTACTTTACACTTTACTGTTTCTGCCTGCCCATAGTGGAATTCTCCTTGATTGTCTGCAAGCATTTTTAGAAAGCAGGAAAAATCAACAAGTTCAAGAGGCCCTTCTGACTTCAGCTCCAAGCTTATCATTAATTAAGAATAGTTTCTTAATTAGATTATTATTAATCTAATAATTTAGATTAATTAAGAGATCTCTCTAATTAAGAGAGATCTGTTTCTCTTTTAGATTATTTGTGGGAATATAAATTGGTGCAGCTTCTATGGAAAACAGTATGGAGGTTCCTTAAAAAAACAAAAACTAGAGTTGCCACATGCCCAGCAATCTCACTCCTGGGCATATATCCAGAAAAACTCTAATGGGAAAAGATACATGCTCGCCAATGTTCATAATAGCATTGTTTGTAATAGCCAAGACATAGAAGCAACCTAAGTATCCATTTGCAGATGAATGCTAAAGAAGATGTGGTACATACATACAATGGAATATTACTCAGCCATAGAAAGAAGGAAATAATGCCATTTGCAGCTACTTGGAGGTTAGAGATTATCATACTAAGTGAAGTAAATCAGAAAGAGAAAGACAAATACCCTATGATATCACTTATATGTGAAATCTAAAAGATGATAAAAAGGAGCTTATTTACAAAACAGAAGCAGACTCACAAACTTAGAAAACAAACATGGCTGCTAAGGGGAAAGGGTGGGGGAGGGGAAATTAGGAGTTTGAGATTAGCAGATACAAACTACTCTATATAAGATAGAGATGCAACCAAATCCTACTCTATAGCAAGGGAACTGTATTCACTATCCTATAATAAACCACAATATGAAAAAGAATATATATATATATATATATATATATATATATATATATATATATCTATCTGTGTGTATAATTGCATCACTTTGCTGTACCCCAGAAACTAGCAAAACACTGTAAATCAACTATACTTCAATTAAAAAAACTAGTCTATTTCTCTTAGATTTTCATCCCTCTTTCCCTCTATATTGATGAGCCAATGTGATACTGGATTTGTGTGAAAACTCATTTGTTACTGGGCTTTTCTTTTTGGCTTCTACAGAACCTTGCCTCCTGGAATCCGTCAAACCCTGAATGTCTCTTACTGGTGGTGAAGGAACTTGTGCAACAGTATCACCAGTTTCAGTGCAGCCGCCTCCGTGAGAGCTCCCGCCTCATGTTCGAATACCAGACGTTACTGGAAGAGCCACAGTATGGAGGGAACATGGAGATTTATGCCGGGAAAAAGAACAACTGGGTAAGGTTTTTCGAGAAAGGGAGAAAAAGGTCACTTTATCTGTAATAGAATAAAATAATCAATTCCAACATTCATTTATAATAAACCCTGGCCATTTCCTTAGATAAACATGATTGAGGATGCCCGGATATTCTCTCAGTCTCACACCCGCAGCCCCAGACTTCTGAGTGTCTGCAGCTGGGAATATGAGTCTCCAAATTTTACAGGCTTCCCAGGCGATATCTTTGAGAAACCACATAAACAATAAGGTCTTTTCAAAACTCTGAACTATGAGAAAGTATGTGATATCTCAGTCAGACGAGAGAGGTCAGTAATTCCGGAGGTAACTAGCTTATGTGGAGCCTTTTATAATTTCTTTTACATTGTGTGATCCTTTAAAGACACAAGCCAGAGTGTATCACTCCTCTGCCCAGAACTTTCATATCCCTCTCTTTTTCTCTCACAGTAAAAGCCACCGTCTTTCCAGGGGTATAGAAGAGCTCAGCCTGATTCCCGTCACCACTATCCTCCATCCATCGTTCCTGCTCTCTCTTCATCTCCTGCTTTCCTGTCTAAAAATAATCATCTCAGCCACACTAGCGCCTCTGTGTGCTACAGACACACCAGACATGCCCCTGCCCTTGGGTCTGTGCATAGCTTTCCTGTCATCTGGCTTGTTTCCCCTGTATAATCACAAAGCTAATGCCCTTCCTCCTCAAAGATTTTACTCATATGTGACTTTCTTAGAAATGCCTGTATTAACACCCCCAATTTTTTTAAACAACTTTTTTGGAGCTATTATTTTGATATCATATATCCACCTGTTTTAAGTGTAAAGTAAGTTGAACAACCATCATCAATCCAGTTTTTGAATGGTTCCATCATCCCAGTGATATCCCTCAATGCCCATTTATAGTTAATTCTATTCCCACCCCCAGTTTTGGGCAACCACTAATCGAATTTCTGTCTATATAGATTTTCTTTTCTGAACATTTCATGTACTTGCATACTTGGGAAATACTGTGGGTTTAGTTTCAGACCACTGCAAATAAGCAAATATCAAAATAAAGTGAGTTGCATGAATTTTTTGGTTTCCTGATACACATATGAGTTATGTTTACACTACACTATAGTCTATTAAATGTGCACTAGCATCATGTCTATAAAAAACTTTTGATATATTCTGCTTAAGTCCAACGTACACACAGGGGAGGCATTACATAAGAGTATGAATCCCACCAGAGATCATTGGGAGCCTACCACACTTACTATTATGTTTGTTGTTTGTTTCCCCCCAATGGAATGTAAAATTCCACAAAAGCCGAGATATTTGTTCACTGGAAATATCGTAAATACTTAGAACAGTGCCTGACATATTGTTTACATTCCATAAACATTTGTTGAGTGAATAAATGAATGAGTAAACTCTAGTTTATTTAAGCACAGAGTAAGTTTAGGTTCCCTTCTCTGTGTTAAGCCTTTCAGATTTCTCTCAGTCTTTCTTTTCTTAGGTTAAACATACCTCTCCCATTTTGCTCTTCAGCTCTTTCTCGAAGGACATGTTTTCCAAGGTCTTACATGTGATTAATGCCTTTGAATCAGTGAGACTAAAATTCTTGTTACAAATCATCTTGTTTGTTCAGTTCAAGCTTTTTTTTGTTGTTTGTCTGTTATTTTGTAAATTTATTTTGTTTATTTTATTGTGGTAAAAGACATGTAAAATTAAATTTGTCATCTTAACCATTTGTAAGTATACAGTGCAGTAGTATTAAGTTTGTTCACATTGTTGTGCAGTCACTCTCTAGAGCTTTTCCATCTTGTAAAACTGAAACTCTGGACCAATTTAAACACTAACTCCATTTCCCTCCAGCCCTTGGCAGCTACCTTTCTACTTCCCGTCTGTATGATTTTGACTCCTTTAGACACCTCATATAAGTGGAATCATCTAGCATTTGTCTTTTTGTGATTGGCTTATTTTGCTTAGCATACTGTCTTTGAGGTTCATTGATGTTGTAGCATGTGACAGGATTTCTCTCCTTTTTAAGACTGCTTGCTATTCCAGTGTACACTTATGCTACATTTTGTGTATCCATTCATCCGTCAGTCAGCATTTGTGTTGGTTTCACCTCCTGGCTATTGTGACTAATGCTGACTATACCTGAGTATATATAAAGATACTACTTTGAATTCTTTTGAATACATCCCCCAGAGTAGGATTGCTGGATCATATTGCTAATTCTGTTTTTAATTTTTTTTTTTTGAGAAATCTCTGTACTGTTTTCCATAGTGGCTGCACCATTTTATATTTCTACAAGTAGTGCAGAGTTCAAGGTTCTAAACTATTATTTTGAAACTTTCATCTATTCATATGGATAGTAAGGAAAACTTCACTGAACTTAGTTTATTCTCTAATCCAAGCATTTCTCTTATTAAACAATCAATTTAGTTGTCCTTTCAAAAGAGTTATTAGGTTAATTTGGCATGACTTCTTGATGAACCTGTTTGTGTTGTCTTTAGTACTGATAGATTCCTTTAAAGACAGGAATCACTGTCAAACTAATTGGTCTTTAGTTTTTAGGATTTTCCTTCCTACCTAATTCCCCCTTTTAATATTAAGGCTGACTTTAAATTTATCCAGTTTTATGGTGCCATTTCTGATCTAAGAATGTTTGAAATTATGTTCATTGGCCCAGCTAATAACTTGAGTTGTAGTTTTTCTGAGTGTAGGAGTATAGTTAGTTTGAATTTATAGTATATTTAAAACTTTCAATTTAATGTTACTGATTTTCCATTCTTTACTTATAAAACCTACTACTGCTATGTTTACCCCCAGTTTATTTTCATATGCTGTTGAGTGGTTTGTAAGCATCAGGGCAATGATTATGGACTGAGGGGAAGTAAAGAGACTGAGAACCTTGTAACAAGACAAGGTGGGCAATTAGAGGTTAAGCTTACAGCAAACCAACCCAAGGAGGAGATCAATGGAAGTAGGAGCTGAGACACTAGAAGTAAAACTACTATATGAGTTAGTATATGAGTTAGTTCCTGGTCCAAAAACAGAACATAAAGGTGAGTCTTGCAGGATGAAACACATTGGAGCTTGATGTGCTGCTTCAGGAATATGTTAAAGGACAACTTGCTACTGGAATTCAAATATACCCCAAGAATTAGGTTGACAAACATGGGACCCTAGCAGAAAGAAAGGAGTTTGATTTTGAGGTGAGATCTTTTGAATCAGAGGCTGTATTAGTTTCCTACTGCTGCTGTAACAAATTACCACGACCTTGGTAGCTTAAAACAACACAGATATATTACCTTATAGTTCTGGTGGTCAGAAGTCCAAGGTGGGGCTCCCTGGGCTAAAATCAAGTTCTTGACCAGGCTGCACTCCTTCTAGGGGCTCTGTTTCAGGGCTGAAGAAACCAAAGAAATGGGCAGATGTGTTTCAGAGGTATTATCTTTGAGAAATGGAGAAGCAGAAAGATCCTCAGGGCTGTAGAAAGTAAACACATTCTGGAGATTTTTAAAAGAAATTGCACTCAGGTCTTTAAGTGGATGATTTAAATAAGAATGCAATAGTCAGTTGGAAGAATAGTTAGGTAACTAAGAAACAGTTATGGCAAACTTATTTTATCCTTTTAAGGAAGGTGTATATTATTAGATTGTCTCATTTTCAGTAAAGCATTCAGTCATTCTCTCTTAGTATTCTACTTTGTGCTCCTTTCTTAGTTGTCTGAGTCTCTGGAAGAGCTACATCTAAGAGATTGGATGTATGTCTAGTTTGCCATCAGATGTCTTGTGAAATGTCACAGAGCTGCTCCTTTGATCTTGTTTTGTTCATTCTTTTATTAGGTAATTGAAAGGCATGCTTTTCAGTTTTTCTGATAACACAGAGCTTGGAACGATAATTATTTTGAAAGACTACAGAATCAGTATTTTAAATTATATTTATATGCTCTGGAATGCTGCACCATACCCGTAAGATATAATTCAACAGGGCTAAGCCAGTGTACAACTGATATAGAAAGTCTACTATGCTGCTAATGATTCGAGTTAAAAAAAAGTAGTCCTGGCTTTTGCTGTTGAAGGTGTTAAAATCCAGTTAAGAAGACTCAGCACGTATTTGTAAAAAATGAAATAGCAACATTAAATAGATTGCCTCAAATGGAATGGACAGCCTGTGTATGAATTCAGAAGAAGACCCAGTCACTGAGAAATGAAGTAACTATGGAGCCTTCACTGGTGAACCGGAACTGACCTAGGCCCTAAAGGAAGGTGGAGATAAGTAGCACTATAGGTAGAGGAGGTCAGTGGGTTATATGGTTGCAGAAAAACTTAAGAGGGAAATTCCCCAGCGTTCAGCGATTAGGACTTCCACTGCAGGGGGCCCAGGTTCTCTCTGGATGGGGAACTAAGATCCTGCAAACCATGTGGTGCAGCCCCCAAAAAAGAAAGAAAAACTTACAGGCATAGCATATGTGGGAGACAAGAATTATAAGTATTCATATGACTGGTTAACAGATCAGTAAATCACATCTATTATGTCTTATTGTAGCAAGAAAACATTTTAATATGAAATAAATTGATATAGGAAATAAAATATGAAAACTAATATATTCTTTTAATAAAATAGAGTAAGAATCAATATGTTCTTCCTGGGCTGAATGTGAATCCATGTATTGTGGTTCTCCTGATCCTACTAGTCCACCTGATAAATACTTTCTGTAAGGAACCTAAGACTGTGCATAATGATTGAAGACCTTTGGATTACAACATCCTGTGTTCATTTGAGAGGATGGTGGCTTTCTATTCCCCTTTCTGTTTCCACCTTTGCCATTACTGAAGTTTTCTTTCTAGAACGTATGTTTACATTCTTAACCTTCCATTTCTGCTCTTAGAATCCTGAGATGCCTCTTCCGTTTTACCATCAGTTGGCAAAAGGAAAAATTTAAAAACCATGTGGAAGAGAGAGCGAAGGCTCTTATCTCCTGTCAGCCTTCTGACAAGCATGTTAACTTGAA